ATGTTTGAGGGAAATCAAAATAGAAAGTGATTTATTCAAGAATATAATTTGAGGAATAGGCTAGCAAATCTATTCTTCTTTTCAAAACGTTGCTAGTGTTCATGTTTACTCTCATGTAAGTTAGAAGGGAGAGTTGTGTCTTTTAAACAAATTCCATTGTGGTATAATTTTGTAGTCACACCGTGACCTAAATTAATTCCATGCAAACCTTGATTTTATACTTTTATCTTTTCAGGAATTTTATATGAATAGTTGAAAATTGCTCAGTTGTGTCTGACTCTCCAGGCCAGAATACTGGAGTGGGTAGACTTTCCTTTCTCCAGGGGATCTTCCCAACCCAGGGATTGAACCCAGGTCTCCAGCATTGCAGGCAGATTCTTTACTAGCTGAGCCACAAGGGAACCCCAAGAATACTGGAGTGGGTAGCCTATCCCTTCTCCAGCGGATCTTTTTGACCCAGGAATCAAACCAAGGTCTCCTGCATTGTAGGAGGATTCTTTACCAACTGAGCTATGAGGGAAGCCCCATATGAATAAAGTCATACAATAAAAAACCTTTTGAGCAGTCTGCATCTTTGTCAGGTGGAGCACATGGTACTAGGCCTGTGTATGATCACTTTCCCTGACACCGCTCTCACTATTATTTAACCCAGATGTTTTGAACTTTTTAGTTATTTTACATAAATAACTTATCATTTCAAGTGTTTGAATTCCTTTAGAAATTATTTGTATTTCTACAAAAGAAACATTATGGCAACTGATAATGAGCAGGTTCACTGGAGTGTTGGACCAACTCATGATCAAGTTAAGACATATTCTTCATGCAAAGCTAACTGTACCAACTCCATTATGAATTTTTCTAATATTTTTAAGACAAATTTTACTGGTCAAATTTCACTTTAGCAGTACTAATTGGGGTATGTTTATTATTTGGTGTTAATAGGAGTTGACGCTAAATAACATCTCCAACAATTCTTTAACATTGTTGCACAATCAATGGGCTTGTTGAACCAAATTATAGCATTAGGATGGTTACTGCTTCAAGTGAAGCCAATATGTTAGTAAATTATTTTATTGGTAGGATAAAATCATAAAGTAAGGGAAATCATAAATATATAACACACTGGTGTTAAAGTGGACAAGTACCACTAAAATGATGAAAAATAGAAGAATGCAAAGGGTAGTGTGACAAACAGTGGTTCCAGACATCTTAGAGAATTCTCTAGTGGTCTTGGCTGGAGATATACACTTTAGGCAGTTGTATATTTGTTTCAAGGATGGTGGGTCAACCCCATCTTCTGTGGACTATCTGCTTCTGATCATTCTCTGGAGAACCTCAGTTTAATATCTCTAATGTACATAACTTTACAGTTCTTGTCAATTAGGGATGCATGATGTTATAGTAGTTGGTACACATGTGATAAAGGATCAACTTATTGTACTTTACCTGCTGAACTGATAACAAATGGAACATATTAAAGTCATTTCCACAAGTTCAATGGCAGTTTTTCTCTGGGTATTTTGCCAGCACTCAGTCACCCAGGTTGTCATAAAAAACTGATTAGATGAAAGGCTAGGAAATCAAACTGTGCCTGTGATGAAAGGACTGATTATAGTGGGTTTATTTATTTAGTTCAGTTGGTGAAAGATTGGAATATGTGTGATTTGGGCCCTTGTGAATTACCTGGGCATATCAGGGACCAGCTGGTAGTAAGATAATGTGTGACTTTGTGAGGGGAGAAATCAGGGCCATGGGGGCCAAGACTAATTAATAATGTATTAGACCACAGTAGTTCAAGGGTGTCTGATACTGTAATTCATTTAAGTTCTAATATTCCATTTGTTCTTTCCACTTCTTCAGAAGATAGAGAGACAATAAGAGTAGTAAAATTTCTGAGTGAGGGCAAAACTTTATATAACTATCTCAGAGAAACTTGCTTCCTTATATAGATAAAATTTGAAATGACACAGGTAGTAAACACCACATCAAGTTCATTTTTAATTATGGTGAGTGCTGTGGTTTATCAAAAGATTGCTTCAACCCATGTGAAGAATAAAAATGCTGTTACTAGTACATACTCATAATGTATGGAGATGGGAAATTGTTTATATTTCTTTTGGAAATACCCAAATATTTCCTTGCTATAGTTTTCTAGTTAATAATCAACTTTTACAAGTTTTATGGGATCTTGTGGGTTCCAAGAAACTCATGAGCTGACCCCAATATCTACCAATCTAGAAAAGTTTTCCCACAATATTTTCTTAAATGTTGCAGCCAATATTTCCCTAATGTCATATCTCAAGGATTTGAATAAGAGTTCAATGGAGATCATTTGGCTTCACCAGACAGCTGTCTTGGCTTTGATATATTTTGTCCTCATGGAGCAAACAAATCAATCATTCCTAGTCATTCCTTACAAAATCAGGGTCTGGCATTCTGAACCTAAGATGGAATTTTTGAGACTTTCCATGGATTTGCCTTTATGTTCTAGAAGTGGTTCTTGCATAAGGACTTTACTCAGAAAGTTAAGTTTAATATGATAATCTGCTCGATCATTTTTTTCCCATAGTCTGCAGAATCTTTCATNCCTTTCCATGGATTTGCCTTTATGTTCTAGAAGAGGTTCTTGCATAAGGACTTTACTCAGAAAGTTACGTTTAATGTGATAATCTGCTCGATCATTTTTCCCCATACTCTGCAGAATCTTTCATGCTGAGAGGCTTTGTCTTTATAACAAAATTTCTTTGAGTACCATGATGACATCAAGTGTTCATTTTAATTGGAGTGCATAAGACATATGCCAAGACTAAGAAAAATCAGAGATTTAGGAAATCTCATTGTTTCCATTGTATTTGGAATCTATGAACTGCATTCAAAACCTACTGACCAACACTGAATATAATTTTTTTTTTCTTTTGTAAATTGACTTGCCCAAGAGAGATGCACAAGTTCAGCTACTTGAATTAATTATACTTCCCCTAAGGATTGAGTTTTATAAAGAGGTCTGGAGTAATTATTGCATAAATAGCCTGGTATTGTCCCTTTCAATTTTTGAGATTAAATACTTATTATGAAGAATTTTTCTATAAGAATGTCTGAAAGATCTGTTCTGGACACGGACACTTCTTAAATGGCAGAAGTGCAATCATAAGAGTCCTTTGATTGAGAAATAGATTCCAGTTGAATAATGGGAGGAGAAATTAGTACTATTTCATATTTATTCAGCCACCTGACATGAAAATGTTGGGTGTTTTCAGAGAGTTACAGTGTATAACTCAAAGAGCAGAGCTGTTTGTACTGCATGTGGTACCATCAGATTTAATGGAGATTTTAGAGCAAGATGTGATAACACTTCAACCAGTTTAGCTGAGGCTGCTGTTATTTTGAGACAAGGCTGATAAACTTTGGATTCTGTACCAAGAGGTAGAATAATAGGCCAGGGGTCTTTGTTATTCACCATGATGTTGAATAATATTCCTAGAGCATGGCCTTACTTTTAACATACATATGCAGAGAAAAGTTTCATTACCGTCAATAATACTGCAATCACAGTCCCTTGTAGGTATATGAGGTCACCTAGAGGAGGAAATGGCAACCCACTCTAGTACTCTTGCACGGAAAATCCCATGGACGGAGTATCCTGGTAGGCTACAGTCCATGGGGTCTCGAAGAGTTGGACACGACTGAGCGACTTCACTTTCACTTTTCACTTTCATGCATTGGAGAAGGAAATGGCAACCCACTCCAATATTCTTGCCTGGAGAATCCCAGGGACAGAGGAGCCTGGTGGGCTGCCATCTATGGGGTCGCACAGAGTCGGACACAACTGAAGCGACTTAGCAGCAGCAGCATGATATGTTCTCCATAGAAATGGGCATACAGAATATAGAAGCTTACTGTGGTTCATTTAGGGTCTCAACTGAAGTAAAGGGGAAAATGTAATTTCAAAGATTTGATAACCTGATGACCAAACTGGTGTCTAAATGGCCTTTATGAATGAGTAGAGCTGGGCTATAAAAACCAACGAAGAAGAGAAGAGGACCTCTGTGATAGGACACAGTGTGAGTGTGCGTGTGTGCGAAGTCACTTCAGTCGCATCTGACTTTGTGACCCTATGGACTGTAGCCTGCCAGTCTCCTACATTGGCAGATGGGTTCTTTCCCCCAGCACCACCTGGGTAGCCAATTGCTGAGTCATGTTCAACTCTGCAACCCCATGGACTGTAGCCTGTTAGGCTTCTATGTCCAAGGAATTCTCCAGGCAAGAATACTAGAGTGGGTTGCTGTGCCCTCCTCTAGGGGATCTTCTCGGCCCAGGGATCAAATTTGGGTCTCCTGCATTGCAGGCAGTTTCTTTACTGTCTGAGGCAGCAGGAAGCCCCTTAATTTGAGCAGCTTCAGCCTAAATTTTTCAGCCAATTGTGATTAGATTTTTTTTGCTTTTGACCACAAGACAGGCAACTGAACATTGATAATGAAGAGAAATAGTGTCTTAACAGCAAGAAGAACAATAAATTTACAATAACTAGTCCAAACAGCTTTCTCTTCTTATTATTAAATGGTTTATTTTATTTCTACCTTAGGTTGAAGAACAGCATACATAGCTGTGAGGATGCATGCTTATTGTATCTTACACTGATTCCATAATGTTTTACACATAATATTTTAAAATAAGAGCTACCTACTCAATTCCTTCACAGATGCAGTGACTGAACAGAAAATTGGTGGGGTTATCAATCTTCGCTGCAATATTAGATTTAACTTGTTTTTATTTTCAGATGTAATTGATATCAACTGAAGACCCAGTTAATGCAAAAGGAAGTTTGGGTTGAGTGAGACACTCACCTGGTTCATAGAGAAGTTGACATACCCACATCAACTTGCTTCTCCAGGAAACCCCTGTTTCCTGTTGTGGAGCTGCAGCAGCACATACCCAGCAATTCTTCCCTAACCCTGTCAGGCTCACTTCACCTTGCACACCCTTGACATTGAAGAAGAAGAAGATATTTTCCATCTAGTGGAAGAGCTGAAACATGCTTCTCTCAAGCCTTCTGAAGGTGGCCATGGCTTCATTGTGTTTAGGTAAGGATGGTCCCAGTGGGATTATGACTCCTCTGTGACCTAAAGACTGGGGGAACAGGCAGTCTTATGGTTACCCTGGGAAGAAGGGGTAGTAGGATCTAATATAGGATTTCTTTATTCTACCACCACTTATTCCTAAAGTTTTGATTCTATTTTTTTTTCTTTAGGATCCATTATTGCCCAGAAGGTAACTCAAGACCCACAACCAATGTTAGTATGGGAGAAAGAGGTTGTGACCCTGGACTGCACTTATGACACCAGTGAATCAAATTATAATCTTTTCTGGTACAAGCAGCTCAGCAGTGGGGCAATGATTTTTCTCCTTCGTCAGGATTCTTATAACAAGCAAAATGCCACAGAAGGTCGCTACTCATTGAATTTCCAGAGAGCAAGCAAATCCATCACACTTGTCATCTCAGCTTCACAGCTTGAGGACTCTGCAGTGTATTTTTGTGCTCTGAGAGAGACCACAGTGAGACGCAAGTAGGAGGGACTTGTACCAAAACCTAGGGCTCTGCTCCACCTGCTGTAGGGACCAGGGCAGGGAATTGGCAGCAGAGATGGGAAGTGGCTAGGACGACAGTACAGGTGTAGGGTTGGAGGGAGGACACTCACCCTGAGAAAATACCTCTCTAGGTTCATAGACCGTGTTCAGAGCTATCATCAAAAGCACCTTTATCCCTGACTCATTGTCTTGAAGGTAAACACATAGCATTTTTAGCCAAAGATCGGAAAGAAAGAACAGCCACATAAAATATTTGCCATTTGGTGATCAGATTGAGCTAGAAGAATTGGCTAAGGAAGTTCAGAAACATATGATGAAAAAATCAGTAAAAGTATGTGTGAATTGTTGGTTTTTCAGATCAATTTTTCAATAGATATTTATGGATTATATATTGTGTGGATGAAGAAAAATTCTCCTCTACCCTCTTTGTGTCCCTGGTTAGGCCTAAGAATTAAACTGACCTAAGACAGATTAGAGGAGAAAAAGCATGCAAATTTTGTTAAATTTGTATGTGTACATGGGAGCCTTCACAAGAAAATGAAGCTCTGAAGAAGCACCCAGAGCAGGGATAGTTTCTATACTTGTGGATGAAGAAACAATAAATCTGTGAAGAACTGAGAAGACCATGGGCTAGTGATAGTCCACTTACCCCCTGTGTGTCCTCATCTTTCTTGAATACAAAGAGTCCTTGGTGCCATTATAGAATCTCTCTTCAAAAAAAGAATTTATTTAATGCCTTTAGGCAGAAAAAAGGGATCCTTTCCTGCATTTACTCAAAATAATTTTTATGTCAAAGAGGCATAATTTGGGTTAACATAATCTGGATTCCTTCAATTATGTTATAGGCATTGTTTTCAATAATGAAGGTCCTCTCAGAATGATGTCTCTTTTTGTAGACCATGCTGTTTTATACTATTTCTGAATTAGTTTGATTTAGGCCTGTTTGGTGTGAGTCCATGGTACTCATATTTACTTTCTAATGTGACTACTATGCAATTTTTCTCAGTTTGTAAAGGACTTTTAATATTTTTCTTTATATTTTGGTATTTACCTTATCTTCAAACAAATTTCCCTCTCTATATTCCTACATGTTCATATCTCTATACATAATTAACTTTCTTATTTATATTTATTTTAAATTTTCTTCCAAGTACAAAAATGTTTAGATTAAATAGCTATAGTATGTAACTCAAGCAATTAGTATGAACAATAAAACAAAATGAAAGAAATCAAAGTGAAGGAATTAAAGATAAAGCAGAAATTGACTGATCAAGGTAAAATAATAAAATCAATAATAAAACCATAATCTGACATTTTGAAAAAGATTATTTTAATACTTGGAAATGTATTAACAGATGGATTTGATCTGGAAAGATTTCCTTTCGACCTGGCATGATTCACTAACTATAGCTCTTCAGAACATATGTATTTGTGCAAGCTTATCTGATTTTGGTAGCTCTTACAAATATTTGGACTCCTCTCTAATTTGACTGAAATTATAGATTTAGCATTTATTCCTTTTCTTTAATCTCCTTGTTGCATTTAGGTTATTTCTGTGGTGTATAAGAAAAAAATGATGAGTTTTTCTCAACCATATTTATATTGAAATCTTGGCTTCCACTTACTGCTTGTGTATTTGTCTTTTATTGTGAGGGGCTCCACGTTTTACTCTAGAAGGTGCTGGAGTAGTAACTGTGGTTCAAATTTATGAGATGTATAGATGCTTCAGATTTCTGGAGTGCATCTGAAAATTATTCTCCTTTCTGTCCATAAACCTGTCATAATCTTCTGGAAGTCTCACAACTATGATGATTCTGTAGAGATCAAACCATGGTTTAAATAAAGTAGTTGTATAGGAAGGACCAGGCTTCATGAATAAAGGCAAGAAAAAGGGAAGAATTTTGGCTTTTACTGCTTGTATTTAATATTGTACCAGGGGTTCTAGTCAGTGCAATAAGGCAAGAGGAGGAAACAAAATACAAAGAGTTTTGAAAGGAAAAGTGAATCTATTTTTAGTCACAGGTAGTATAGTCTGAGTATAAAATCCACTGGGATCTATGAAAGAAATCTACCAGAAAAAATAAGAAAGTTAAAGTCAAATATACACCTCCCATATGATCAAGCTATTTCACCCCAGGTGTTTACCCAAGAGAAATGAAAGCATGTCTATAAAAGAAAATTTATTCACACACATTCATAGCAACTTTATGTGTAACAGTCCTAAACTGGGACTAACCTAAGTGTACATCAATAGGTGAATAGATAGGAAAATTGTTTTGGATCCATATAATGGAATACTATTCAGCAACACAGAAGAATAAGCCATTGATACTTATAACCATGAAAGAATCTTAAAATAATTATGCTGAATGAAGGAAGCTAAACAAAAAGTATATATTATCCCATTTATATAATGTTATAAAATATGTAAACTAATTAATAACAAGTTTTGCATGAAAATGGGAGTAGGAGGTGGGGAGAGGGTTGAGAGGACCACAAAGAGATGTGAGGAAACTTTTGGTGGTGATGCACAGTTCATTATCTTGATTGTGATGATGGTCTCACAATTATGCATATATATGTACATACATATTTGTCTAATCTTATGAAAGCTTACTTTAAATAAGTGCAGTATATTTTTATGAAAATTATGCTTTAATAATAGCATTAAAATCCAAGTTTAAGAAATATCTTTCTTCATTGCTGTACAAGACTTCTGCTGCTGCTGGTGCTGCTAAGTCGCTTCAGTCGTGTCCGACTCTGTGAGAACCCATAGACGGCAGCCCCGTGACTCAAATGCAAATATTTGTCCTCTACATTCTTACTGGCCTTAATATATATATATATTTTAAAGCGTGAGTAACAACTTTCTGTATCCGTTCATTCTATACTTATTTTTTCAACTCAGCGTCATCAAACCTGTATTGTTTTCCCCTTTTATAGCAGAATAAAAGTTTCTAGCTGTTTTTCCTGAATTCCTTTCCAGCATAATTTTGAGGCAGGTTCTGACAATGTGATTTGGAAGGCAAAGGAGAAAGGAAGAAATATGTGAGGCCAACCAGTATCTGAGTCTGCTTTTCCTACTTAATCTGAATCTGGGAAACCAGTCACACGTTGACTTTGGACTCATGGAACTCCCTGATCTGAAACTGTGGAGAGTCAACTCTCTGAAAGAAACTGAGCTAAACTCCATCTATGTGTCTAGGGACTAATGATTACAGGGGCTTTACTGACTGTTTCCTTCTCCAGAACTTTATCCTGATAGCCCTCAGGATTTTTGGTTTCTTTTAATTTGTTTAAAATAAAATGAACATTAAAAAAAGTGAGCTAAAGGAGACTTCTTTTTGCTGCTGGTAATTCACAGAGAAGGATCATTTAACACAATTTGTAGAGTCATGGGCTTCCCAGGTGGCGCTAGTGGTAAAGAACCAACTGCCAGTGCAGAAGACAAAAGAGACGTGTGTTCAATCCCTGGATCAGGAAGATCCTCTGGAGGAGGATATGGCAATGCCTTGCAGTATTCTTGCCTGGAGGATCCTATAGACAGATGAGCCTGGTGGGCTACAGTCTATTGGGTCACAAAGAGTCTGACACAACTGAAGCGACTTAGCACAGTATAGTCATGGAAACATTTTTCCATTCTGAGCCCAGAGCTTTCTCCCTGAACCTTGGCAACTGCCTTTGTCTACACAATGATCACAAATGAAATTTTGTTGAACTGTTTTCAACAAAACCTCTTAGGGAGCTTTCAAAATTACAAATTCACAAGTCTCAATTCTGGAAAAAATTATTCATGAAATTTGTGGTGCATTTGGAATCTATAATTTTAAATCATGCACATATTGATTCTATCATCAGCTGCTGTATAAATATCAATTTGTAAATCTTTAACAATTTGAAAAGCTGGGAAAGAACAGTCCTAACTCAAGCTCCAGGCTTTTGACAGAAATTCCACATCTTTAGGGTTCCAGACATGGTGGAGGAAAATTATTTGGTTAAAGTTTGGCATCAAAATGTTGGTATAACATTTTGCTTATTACTTATTACATTAAGTAATAAAAAGTATACTTTAGATTAGATATCTACTGAGTGAATTATTAGTAGGATTTAATAAGATTAGTATTTGTTGGTCACACAGTAAAGAATCTGCCTGCATGGAGGGAGACACAGGTTCGATCCCCAGGTTGGTAAGTTCCCCTGCAGAAGGGAATGACAACCCACTCTAGTATTCTTGCCTGGAGAATTCCATGGACAGAGGAGTATGGCGGGCTACAGTCAATGGGGTCACAAAGAATCAGATACGACTAAATGACTAATACTTAGCCAGCTTGAAACTGTGAGAGAATAAGATATTCATATCAGAACATCAAAGGAATTTCATAAATTCAATTATGATGTTTCTTTCTGACTAGGATTCATATTTTCATTTTCAAATGATTTTTGTATTCAGGAATATATGACTATTAGTAAGATGTGTGACTTTTCCTCTTTAAAAACTTTTATTAAAAGATAGAATTCCTTACAATTGATATAATTTAGGACTGGTCCCTCATAGCTCAGTTGGTAAAGAATCAGCCTATAGAGCAGGAGATCCAGGTTTGATTCCTGGGTCAGGAAGATCCCCTGGAGAAGGAAATGGCAAACCACTCCAGTATTCTTGCCTGGAGAGTCCCATGGGCAGAGGAGCCTTGCAGGCTACAGTCCATGGGGTTGCAAGGGTTGGACAAGACTTAGCGATTAAACCAACCTACCAAGGAAACAGTGCATTTCAAAAAAGAGTGATTCCTCAAAGATTGTTTGTTTATCATTTTTGTTTAATTGGACAGATATTTTGTGATGTAATAATCTCAGTTTACTGCTCTACGTATTATGGTACAGTGTTGAAAAAAAGAATCACCCAGTAATGACTTGATTTCTTATTACTTCTTCTAATTTCAACACCAAACACTTTTCTGGTATTTGATGAATTATGGCTAGCTCAC